GATGGATGGGTGGATGAACGAATGAAGGAAGGAAGGAAGGAACGCTACACATGGCCCACAGGGTAGCAGTGAGTCAGGTGGTGCGGAAGATCAGGTAATGCTCCTTCCTCAGCCTCCCAGCATCCTGGCCTCTCCATCTCCTCCTCCGATGAGGACCACTCACTAGACCAAGTGCTGGGAGACAAACAACATGGGAGATGCGCTACCAGGACCCTGTCCTCACCAGGGTGAATGTGTGCTGTATAGCAGACCACACCAGGGCACTGGGATCAAGGGCAGCCAAGTGCCCTCTTCAGGACAGGGTCTCCACAGTGGGCATGGGTGGGCATTGCCAGGCCACTGGTTGCAAGGGGTAACACACTTGCTGTTCATACAGGCTGGGGCTTTGGTCCCCCTGAGGCACTTGGAGGAAAGACCTGGCAGTTTGCTCCCGAGATTAGGTGTTGACAGCCTGTGGAGCACAAGTCTGTTTGGGCACATGTGGGATGAGCGGGGTGGCGCGGGGCCATGGCACCTTGTGGGTGCTGGGCCCCAGGGCCCACTGTCACCTCTGTACCCCAGGACCCTGTGTCACCTCCATCCACTGCTTACTGACTGTTGTCCCCTCCCCCTGGGGGCTTTCAGCCTCAAACCCACCTCCACCCACCTGGGCTACAATAGAAAACTCAGTAACGTATGTGGAGGCGGGACCCACGGAAGGACACCCCGCACGGCCCCCTGCCCAGGTGGGGATATGAAGGACACCACAGGGCCTGAGCTATGAGGACTCAATGTCATGCCTGACCCCCTCAGGGTCAGCCTAGCCTGAGAGGGGGCCCAGCAGGTGCCAGAAAAACACCCCAGACCTGTAGGTTCCCACGTCCAAATACCCCAATTACAGAGGCAGAAACTGAGGCTCAATGGGGTGGGACTTACTCCAGCACAAAGGAGTCAACATCAAGGCTGATGGTATCCCTGGTTTCTGGATGACCAGTAGGGCTCCTGGGCCTGTCCTGGTGGGTGAGAGTGGACAGCTGTGGTGGCTGAAGCAGCAGGTGGGGCTGACCAGGTCACAGACGCGTGTAGCCCCTACCTGCTTCCCGACGGACCTCTGGGTCCAGAGACTCTGCCAGAAAGTTGGGCGTCCTTGGAACAGGCAAAAGGAGGCCAGCTGGGAGTCCTGGACAGATGTGAGGCTGAGAGGGGCCAGGGCCACTTGTCACCACCAGCATAGCCTGTTCCTGTGCACAGTCCCCTGACTCCACCCCATCCCTATGTGAACACATAAAAAAGTGACTATACATAGAACATGTGAACACACAGCACTTGTGAACACAGCACACGTGAACACACAGCACATGTGAACACACAGCACATGTGAACACACAGCACACGTGAACACACAGCACATGTGAACACATAGCACACGTGAACACACAGCACGTGTACATGCGAACACACAGCACCTGTACATGTGAACACAGAGCACGTGTGAACACAGCACATGTGAACACATGGCACGCATGAGCACACAGCACATGTGAACACACAGCACATGTACATGTGAACACAGAGCACGTGTGAATACAGCACACATGAACACAGCACATGTGAACACAAAGCACACGTGAACACAGCACATGTGCACGTGTGAACACACAGCACACATTAACATAGCGCATGTACATGTGAACACATAGCACGTGTGAACACACAGCACACGTACATGTGAACACACAGCACGTGTGAACACACAGCACACGTGAACACACAAGACATGTACACGTGAACACACAACACGTGTGAACACACAGCACACATGAACACAGCACATATACATTTGAACACACAGGACACGTGAACACATGGCATGTGTGAACACAGCACGTGTGAA